ATAGTGGTGCCAGAAGGAGAAGGGGAAGAGCAAGAAATTGAAAACATATTTGAAAAAATAATGAAGGAGAACTTCCCCAACCTGGTGAAGGAAATATACATATAAGTACAGGAAGCTCAGAGAGCCCCAAAGAAGTCGGACTCAAGGAGGAACACACCAAGACACATCATAAGTAAATTACCCAAGATTAAAGATAAGGAGAGAACCCTGGCTGGTGTGGCTCAGTGGACTGAGTGCCAGCCTGCAAACCAAAGGGTCACCAGTTTGATTCCCAGTTTAGAGCACATGCTTGGGTTGTGAGGGCTCACAAGAGGCAACCACACATTGGTATTTCTCTCCCATGCTTCTACCTCCTTTCCCCTCTCTGAAAATAAATAAATAAAATGTTTTTAAAAAATTAGACCACAATTACAAAATAACATTAAAAAATAAAAAGATAAGAAGAGAATCTTAAAAGCAGCAAGAGAAAAGAAGAGGGAATACCTACAAAAGAGTTCCCATAAGACTATCAGCTGATTTCACAAAAGAAACATTACAGGGGAGAAGGGGCTGGAAAGAAGCATTCAAAGTCATGAAAGGCCAGGATCTACATCCAAGATTACTCTATCCAGCAAACTATCATTTAGAATGGAAGGGCAGATAAAGTGCTTCCCAGATAAGGTAAAGTTAAAGGAATTCATCATCACCAAGCCCTTGTTATATAAAATGTTAAAGGGACTTATCTAATAAAAAGAAGAAGATCAAAACTATGAACAGTAAAATGACAACACATTTATAACTATCAACAACTGAACCTAAAAAAAACAGAAACAAAAGCAAAAACAAACTAAGCAAACAACTAGAACAGGAAAAAATTCACAGAACTGGAGATCACATGGAGGGTTATCAGTGGGAAACGGGAGGGGGAAAATAGGGGAAAAGGCACACGGAATAAGAAGCATAATTGGTAGGTACATGATAGTCGGGGGGGCTGTTAAGAACAGTATAGGAAATGGAGAAGTCAAAGAACTTATATGTGCAACCCATGGACATGAACTAAGGCAGGGGATTGCTGAAGGGAATAGGGGTACTGGCTGGAGGGGCCGAAGTGGAGAAGAAAGAATGGGACAACTGTAATAGCAAAATCAATAAAATATACTTTAAAAAAATGATTTTAGAGAGAAGGAAAGAGAGGGAGAGAAACATCAATGCAAGAGAGAAACATTGATCAGTTGCCTCTTGTATGCGCCCCAGCCAGGGACTACACCCACAACCTAACTTGTGCCCTGACAAGAAATCAGGGTAGCAACTTTTCACTTTGCAGGATGACACCCAACAAAGTCATGCTGGCCAGAGCAAAAAAAAAAAGATTTTTTTCTTAATGGCAAAAATACTTTCCACTTCAGGATTACCTATCAGTTGCTTTTGTTGTGAATCAAATAGAATGAAATGTATGTTATTTGGCAATAGTTTCCTCAAAGGTAAGAGGAGGTGATGCCAAATGAGTTTTGTAGTTATTGAAGAATATGCACTCATTAGGTTTTAAGTCATCTCCAAATAATCCTTTTCTACTCAGTTATCTGATTTTAATATACTAAGTCCTCTGCTGCAAAAAGATAGCCAGGCTTGGGGGAAACTCACAATTGAACGTCCACACTGAAGCATCAATGGATTCAATTCATTGGCTATCAGAGAGGCACTTTCATGTAACCTGATAGTAATTTCAACTTAAATAAGGCTTTATTTGAAAAGAAGAGAGTTTTAATTTTTAGATAAGACCACCTAGTACAGACAGGATGTAAAGTACAGTTCCTGGCTTAGGTGTCCACAATTTGTAAAATTTGTGTGAACCTGCCTGTAGCACCTAGCACTGTGGAGGATCTTGATGTTTGAGGTCAATTATTGTCTTTGAAGGAGGAGCAGAGGAAACAAATGACAATGCAGTACTACAATCTCTTTTCCCCTTGAAATTATGGCAAGGATTCTTGCTCAAACATTGTGCAGGTAGAATGCTGACTATAATAAAGCTAACAGCAATACAAGTACTTTTGTTAGGAAGATGAGACCTCTATCACAGTTATGTAACATCAGCCAAAACAGGGTCCCAAACAACTGCTCATTACACTGGGATCCAGTGAAGGAGGGAGGAGAGAGAGCAGGTGCTCAGCTGCCTGGTGAATGGCCCATTTACAAATCCAGCAGTAGTCAGAAGGGTAGCAGGGAGCACGAGAGCCACCACCATGATGGGTAAAACCAGCACTTCGCAATTCAGTTATAAACTGATGCCCTGCAAGAAGGCACGCTAGAAAGCCAGTTTCCATAAACCTAGTGCGTCAACGTCTCTCAACAATCTCATTTAAAAAGCACCTCTTCAGGAAAAATCATGGAGAGAACTACTCATGCAACAAATACTGGTGCTTCCTCAGTTTCAAATGTCCCTATGTGATATTAATTATGAGCTAGATAAATACATAAAAGCAGCTTTTTTACTTCAGAACCAACTAATTATCTTCCATAAATCTTTTGAAAAGCAAATGTACACGTAAAAGCTCGAGTGAAAAACACGTTCAATGCATCATGTCTAGGCTACCAAGAAAATAAGGGAGTTTAAGTGCACAAAATTGAAAGATCTTACTAACCTAGAACTTCAAATTAATGTTCAAAAAAATTCAGCCTCATATTTTAATGTATCTTGTCATTAGCATTTTATATTTATACATCAGCTTTAGGGTGGTTGTTGCTGTATATTCAAGATGTACATACATCCCACCTGCTGAGTAGCACCAATATTGTAAAATTATAAAAATAAAAAATGCTTTTCAGGCATCCCTTCCCTTAAAATGCTGACATTCCTGTAACTGTACGTGATAAACAGACTATTGGGAAGCAGATCAAACACACAAAGATATCTTGACCATTCCAGCAGAAAACCTTAAAAATGGGTGGGTCAAGGCAACAGAAAACAAAGTAGCGGTGATTATTGGGCACCAGGAGATAGGGGATGCACCGAAACATAAGGCAGGGAAATAGGAGGGGGGAAGAAATCTAGGACTGTCTGTACAATATATGCAGATTTTTTCAAATGTAAATTTTAAAGTGAATGCTGCTTTTATGTGATTGCATAAAGGAAGGCATAACAAGGCTGCTCCACTTCCCTTTACACACAAGCGCATAAAGAGAGTAAGGGATGTGAGAAGCCAATTCTTTGTGCCGCTACTTAATCAATTGCACTCAGTTCTACTTATTGACACAGCCACACTGCACAGACCACTCAGCAGTTAATGGATATAATGTTGGAAAAGCACTTTGAGGACTTCCAAAGGAAGACAGGGCAAAAACCCAAAGGAGCAGGGTTTTATTAGTTATTCCCAATTAACTGAGCAGCATTATATGTGAAACTCCCAAGGCCTGAAAATAAATTGAGATAATTTATTTTGCTTATTCTGATTATCCCACATGAAAGCACTTCATTCCAAAGTTGGTATTTGAAATCCTGGTAGGGTTATTCTGTGCCCTACTCTGGTCTTGTCAGGATAACTATTATAGGCTGCAAGGAATAAATACATTCTTCAAGTGCTACAGGCTACATTTGCAATCTGTCAAAATGGAGAGCTGAGAGGGAGTTATGTGTTTTTAACTGTATACATCCATCACTAGCTCTCATCCTTCCCATAGACAGCAAAAAGTCAACAATGACACATAAAAGCTAAAAATAAGTGACTGAGCAATTGCTCAGAAGAGCTGCACATGGGCACAGTGTTTCATATACACACATTCCTTCCATTTTTTAGTACTGCCAATTTAAAGTAACTGAAATTAAGGGCTCAGGCCTAAGAAAAATTAAGTAAACATGCACTACAAAAATATGTAAAAGCCAGTTGGAAGTAAGATTTCATGCTCATAACCATACAACATCACTGTACCAAATGGCACGTGCCCAGATACAGGTAGTAACTAATAAATGTTGCTGTGTCATGAAAAAAAAATGACAACTACAGGCACATCAAATGCTCCAAGAAAAATTTAGTGTCATTCCATACAAGCTGGAAATATTTCTCCACTAACAGGTATTATAGCATCCATAGTTCATTTCTAGGATTCAATCGAATCAACTCTATTAAAGACCTATTGTTTACAATTTACTATGCTCTAATGATTGAAAATAGTGCATAAAAAAGAGTATGGTTTACATGCAGGCATACATTCAAAATATATGTCTGAGTAAATAATTGCATATAAAAAAGTATAATCTAAAAGGAAAGCACTAGATTCAGAAAATAATCAATAAATTCATGACTTAAATAGGCTTTTAGGTTTTCTTCTCATTCTGTAAGAATTTATTCCATGAGAAAGAGAGCATAAAAATTTTGGAAGTTACAAGTTTGAAATCTTATATATTCAAAGGAGACAAGTTGTCTTGCAACAGTTGTTCTTTTTTTAACAATTTTTTAGCTTCAAAATGATTTATCTAACCAAACCTCATAGGAAACCACAATATATAAGTGAGATAAAAAAAGGTATTTAATTAATACAAATTTGTTTGGTAAGTGCAAGTTTATATAACATTTATTTGTTAGGTAAATAAATGAGGGGGTTTTTTGATGAAGAGAAAAACATGAAATAGGATACTACGGGTGGCAGATGCATTCCTCTTCGAGCCTCGGTGTCTGACTCATTTCTGTAGTTTGGGGTTTTTTGTACCATATTAATAAAATTCTGAATCATACACACAAATGGTTGCAAATAGTAACATTTATCAGCTCCCCTGCAATCTCAGGTTACTCTTCAAGCAAACAGAAAAGGGAGCAGGAGAAGCTTCATTCCATAGCCTGAACCAAAACTCGATAACCTATTAACACGAATTAACTCATCACCACTGCTTGCAACTATGGTAGCATTTCCCACATGGTTGACTGTATATGTAGAATTTTTTAAAATTACAATACTTAAATCCAAATCAAACTTTTGAGAAACCCAAAGATCCCCATCCCCCCCACCACACACACACAGAATGTCCTAGGGGTTAGTGGAATTCAATCCCTATTTGAAAGCCTGTCTTTAAAAAGCCTGCCAGCTGTACACTGAGTGATGTTGGGAGCCAACACCTAGGGCCACCAGAGTGGACGTAGCATATAGACACCTGTTGATAAACCTAGGATTCAAGCAAACTATGCCACCTGCAGACCTGCTGGCCTTTGGTCTCCTTCATTTCCTCCCAATGGTCTTGTTCTTCCTCTCCGCTACTGTTTTGGCCCAGGGCAATCCAACCAATCATCTCTTTACGCTTCATAGTACGCCTGTTATAAATGGAAATCATCAATGTGACATCAGAGAGCTGAAAGAGGGCCACCTGGAAAACAAACGTCTCCTTATAGACAGGATTGGGCTGACCACGTCGAATGGATGTCTTGCAGCGGGACATCTCTTGACCCACAGAATTGAGGAGAAAGAGTTTTCCATATGTATCTAAGAAAAAAAGCAATGGAAATGAAAAGACATCAGTGCTTTTTTTTTGCCAGTCTAGTTGTCATATTTACATGGGGAGCAAATTTTTCTTTTAACATACCAACCAGCATTCTTAGGCCTGACACCTGCTATATGACTAACACCTTACATGAATGGGTAAGGAAAGGGATTACCTTGAATGTGTAATGTTACATGCAGCCCACTATTGGGCACCTTGCCATGTTCATTAGAAGCTCTATATGTGCAGGAGTCTGTACATGCATAGGCATAGTGCAGTGGTGTTCGTGGACATGCATAGTTTTTTATCACATTTTATTTATGCAACAAGATAAATATATACATTTTGTTCTACATGTTTTTCTTTCCATAGTCAAAATACTGTTTTATGCCTAAGTTAAAGAGTCTCTTCTTTGTCTCTCTGTGTACATATTCTTTGGACCATATCATCTCTTCAGTGACAACAACCAGATCTGTGTCTCCAGACTAGACTTCTCTCTCAGACTCAAGATCCAACTGAACATCACATTTCTCTTCGTGGACATTGCACACACATCTCACACTCATCATTTTCCCAACTCTTAACAACCTGCCGCTCCAATGTTCCCCATCTCTGTGAATGACAGCGTCAGCCCCTCAGTGTTCCAAATCAGACATCAGGACTACGTTTTTGATAAGACTGACCTCCTCACCCGGGCCCAGCTAATCAATCACCAAGTATTATGGATTCTACCTCCTAAATAGCTCCCAAATTGGCCCACTTTTTTCCATTCCCCATGCCACTGAACTCTCAGTTTCTACCGTAAGCTCAGATCACCAGCATCTCTCACCTGCATGACTGCACGCTTGCGCACCAAACACCGGTCACTGGGTAGAGCGATATTTGTAAAATGCATATCTGATCGTGTTACTCTCACTAATAAGCAAAAACTAAACCTTCAATACTTCCCACTCGCCTCAGGATAAAACTAAATTTCTTGGTAGAGACTACTTACTTGGGCCCTGTTTTTTCATCATCTTTGCCTTTATAGTTGTAAGCCAACTATTTTGAACTACCTTTATCCCTCCAACCCATCTGCTCTCTTATGCCTTCACTTTTGCACTAGCTATCCATGCCCTGATATCCCAAGTGATATCCAGCTCCACATGCCTTCTATTCACTAGTTTGGTTTGGACATTACTTTATCCAGGAATTTTTGCTGACCACTCTCCCTCCCCACCAACCCTCATTCAGATAACCCTCCTGTGGGCTTCATCAAAATCAAGTTTTACAGATTCAAAGATACAGAGATCAGACTGATAGTTGCCAGGGAAGAGAAGGGTTAGAGGAGTAGGTTAAAAAAAAGTGAAGGAATTGAGAGGTACGGATTGGTAGGCGCAAAATAGGCACAGGGATGCAAAGTACAGCATAGGAAATGTAGTCAATAATATTGTAATACCTACGTTTGGTGCCAGGTGGGTACTGGGAATATTGGGGGAAACACTGTGAAGTATGTGATTGTCTGACCACTATGTTATACACCTGAAACTAATTCAAAACAATATTGCATATAAACTGGAATTGAAAAAAGTTATTTTTTTTTAAATCAAGTTTTAACTTACTTCAGAACTTACCACCAAGTATTTCATTGCCTGTTTACTTGTCTGCAAGACTATCAGTATCCCAGTGGTGAAGAGAGGAGTGGCCTTGTTTACCGTTTACCCCAATGCCTGGCCCAGGGTCTAACATGTAGTAGACATTCAATTAGAATGAAATATTTTATAATAAATATTCGTGACTGGCCAGGACACTCAACTTTCTTTTTTCATTTGATCTCAAGCTTTTTTAAACTTGCGAAATACAGCTAAACGCCTTGTTTCATAATCCTTGCACTAGAATGCTATAAAATGGCAACTAACATCATATATTTAGTCATTTATAGAAAGGAAAGAAAATATCCAAATCACTGATATAATCTACTACTTTTGCTAAAATTTCTGAAAGGATTATTACAAAGAACATCATCTCCTAAGACCATTCTATTTTTACTAAATATCATTTATTCATTTCTTGACTTTTTTCTAAACTACAACTTTTACCAACTTATGTGTTCTCTATTCTTTTTAAAAATCCTAAATGTTAAGGCGTTTCACAAATTCTATTTTTCTGTACATCTGTTCAGAAAAAAAAGCTGATTATTGTTTACTGCTCACTTTCCCACATAAAAACCAGTCAAACTTTTAAAAAGTATAAACACCCATGCCTCTGTAATTTACTGTTCTCTACAAAAGCATTGTACGATAGGAAACAAATTACAACCTGCAGTTTTCTTTCTATGTTGATCTTTTTTCTATTCTGGTTTGATGTGTTATTTTATGCACTTATCTGCTGAGAAACACAAGGTGTGAAATTACACTTCAGGTGAGAAAACACTTCTCTGTCTCAGAAACAGGGCTCTCCACTCTTCAAACTGCTCTATGGAAAAGCTATCAGGAAACCTACAATGGGGGAGTGAATTTGCATTTCCGTAGCTGTAAAGGGCTCCCTGATTCCTGAAGGAAAAGTCACTTCAGTCGCCAGACGGCTCTGGGAATTCTGCTGCCCGTACGGGGTGGGAGTTGACTTAATCTGCAAAGACCTGCTCATTTCACAAAGGGCAATTTCAAACTTTATCCTGTCACAAGATTGTTTTCTAATGATGAGAAGGGCCACTTACAACCAAACCTCCACCTCTGAATCTGCATTGTTAAGTGACAAAAAGGAAAGATAATAATTTTATTAAAAATCCAGTCTGAGGACACCTGACTGAAAGAAGGAAATATTGCTGATCATTATAGCTCCAAGGGGAACCTTTATCACACTGGGGAATGATCATCCCAGTAAGTCTGGTCATCATCCATGACCGCACAGAGTTACAAAGTATTTTGCCTGTGATGACAACTTTTAAGATCTATTCTCTTAGTAGCTTTCAAACACACAGTAGAGTTTTGTTAACTACAATCACCATTCTGTTCATTTCATCACCAGGACTTATTTGTCTTACAATTGAAAGTTTGTACCAGTTTGACTATCTTCACCCATTTCACCCCACACAGCTCCCACCTCTGAAAACCACCGATCTGTTCTCTGTACCTATTTTTTTTTAAAAAGATAGCACATATAAGTAAAATCTTACAATATTTGTCTTTCTCTGACTCACCACATTGGATGTTTAGGACACCTGAAATTAATCTTTGTGTGTGGTGTGAAGTAGGGGTCTAATTATTTTTCCACATGGGAAGCACTGTTCATTAAATAGTCCATTATCTGCCAGGGGATTTGCAATACAACATCTGTCAGATATAAAGTTTCTAAGTTTGTCTGTCTTCCCCTAAGCCTCATAAAATTAATTATCACCATTTTATAATATATCTAGGAAGAATCCTTCTATCATCCTTTTTTGTTTTATTTTTTTAATTATTATTATTTTTTTTTTTTTTGCTCAAATACATTTGTCTCCATTTTCCCACGGCCACTTCCCCCTGCTCCACCCCACACCCACCTCCCACCCTCAATCCTTCCCCACTTTGGCTTTGTCCATGGGTCCTTTATACATGTTCCTTGACTTGACCCTTCCCCTTCTTTCTCCTGTTACCCCTTTCCCTCCTTCCCTCTCCTTACTGTCCATTTGTTTTTTTTTCATTGTTGCTGGTTATATTTTTCTTGCTTGTTTGTTTTGTTGATTAGGTTCCACTTATAAGTGAGATCATATGGTATTTGTCTTTTACCCTCTGGCTTATTTTGCTTAGCATAATGCTATCCACTTCCATCCATGCTGTCAGGAAGAGTAGTAGCTCTTTCTTTCTTTCTGCTGTGTAGTATTCCATTGTATAAATGAACCATAGTTTTTTGATCCACTCATTAACTGTTGGGCACTTAGGTTGCTTCCAGCACTTGACTATTGTAAAGTGTGTTGCTATGTACATTGGGGTGCATAGGTTCTTCTGAATTGGTGTTTTGGGATTCTTACGGTATAATCCCAGCAATGGAATCGCTGGGTCAAAAGGCAGTTCCATTTTTAGCTTTTTGGGGAAACTCCAAACTGTTCTTCACAGTGGCTGCACCAGTCTGTATTCCCACCAACAGTGTACTAGGGTTTTCTTTTCTCCGCAGCCTCACTAGCACTTGTTCATTGATTTGTTAATGATGGCCATTCTGATGGGTGTGAAATGGTATCTCACTGTGGTTTTAATTTGCATCTCTCTGATGGCTAGTGATGCTGAGCATCCTTTCATATGTCTCTGGGCCCGGGTATGTCATCCTTGGAGAAGTATTCAGGTCCTTTGCCCATTTTTTAATTGGGTTGTTTTCCTTCCTGGTTTGGAGTTATATGAGTTCTTTCTATATTTTGAAGATCAAATCCTTGTCCAAGGTATCATTGGCAGATATATTTTCCCATACAGTTGGTTCCCTTTTCATTTTGCTAATGTTTTCTTTAGCTGTGCAGAAGCTTCTTATTTTGATGAAGTCTCATTTGTTTATTCTTTCCTTTATGTCCCTTGCTCTAGGGGACATATTGGTGCAAATATTGCTGGGTGGAATATCTGAGTTTCCTGCCTATGTTCTCCTCTAGGACTTTTACGGTGTCACAACTTATATTTAAGTCTTTTATCCATCTTGAGTTTATTTTTGTGTATGGTGTAAGTTGGTGGTCGAATTTCATTTTTTTGCATGTAGCTGCCCAGATCTCCCAATACTATTTGTTGAAGAGATGATTTTTACTCCATTTTATGCTTCTTCCCACTTTGTTGAATATTAACTGACCATAGAGACATGGGTTTGTTTCTGGGCTCTCTATTCTGTTCCATTGATCTATGTGTCTGTTTTATGCCAGTACCAGACTGTTTTGATTACAGTGGCCTTGTAATATATTTTGATATCAGGTATTGTGATCCCTCCTATTTTGTTCTTCTTTCTCAAAATTGCTGCAGCTATTCGGGGTCATTTATGGCTCCATATAAATTTTTGAAGTGTTTGTTCTATT